ATCAGGGACTGTTGGTGGCTGCAAGCGTAGGTGGGAATGAGGAACCCTACGCAGCCAACCACTAAATGTTTAGTTTTGCTTTAGTTGTGGAAGGTTCTTTTAAGGCAGAAGGGAAAGATACCACTTCAGAAGATAGCTCTGTGCTGCCTTCTGGGCACCAGTAGTTGTTTTCAGTCCTCCCAGTGCAGTGTTCTCGCAGGGTACAGTGTGCACATTGGCCATCCCTGTTTTAAGGAGCTCTTCTAAAGAGCACTTACTGTGCCTCTTATTGGTGCAGCCAGGCACTTGCTGTATCACACAGGAATTGAACCCCATTTAATGAGCATCTTACTTGAATTTATCCATGTATAATGCAATGCACCACAGTTATTTGTACCTTGAGCAGCCTCTTGCTACAAAGAAGAGAGCTGTGACTTGGATTAAATTTAAATCCTTGTTTGTAATGTGTTAGCATAGCAAACTAATGCCAAGATCTATTAAGCCTTCAAGGTTTTTTTGTTCTTGACATTGGGTAAGCACGGAGATCTTGACCACAATCATATTTCCTTCTGGGCAGGAGGAAACAGTTGATGTAGTTCCAGTAATCCGGACAGACTGTCACAGCTGGTTTTATGAATGACTTTGGGGAGGGGGGGAAGGAAAGTTAGCAATTGATTAACGTTGTTCTTAAAATCAAAGTTAGTTTTGGGGAATTGCTATAGCAGGCTTCTGGGATCTTGGCAGTTAGTTCAGAAGAACAACTTTATTTTATTCCTTAAAACATAATACTGAAAACTATAATAATAGGCCTAATAGTCCCGAATCTGTATTTCCAGCTCGTCAAAAGGAAATTAAAAATGGACACTTTGTCTTTCTGGATAATTGCAACTGTATTATATACAAGTATAAACAGCCAAACATTTTTGGCTATACTTGTCAAACAGGTTTTCTTACGTTTCGGCAAACTGTACTAGACGTAAAATGGTTTCCACAATTAAAGAGCATATAAAAATGAACAGTAATACATGTAGGAAAAATGTACGTAGTTTTACAGTGAGTTTTTGTATAGCTTTTTTTTTTTCCTGAGGGCAGGTTGATTGCAAGTCACTGTGAAACATAAATGATATTGTGCCTAACTACTCAGTGGCAGGTGCTAAGCGTGCTGTTGTTTAAGACCCTGCTTATGTTTCTTTAAGAATTCCCAGCAGAATTCAGCAACCTGCATTCTTATCCAGTATTCCCTAAGATGAATCCAGTGAATGAACCAAAATAGCTGTACTGTGCTGCTAGAAGCAAGTCTTTGGCAGTTATGTATTTATTATGGCAATTAATAATGCCCAGGATTTTAAGGTTATCTGCTAAGAGGTGGCAATTTGAGGATCTCGTTTAATTTGGAAGTCATTCTGTCTATACAACTGAAGCAGAATCTCTGATATATTCACTGTCACAGTAATCTCTTCTGACTCTATTACTTAAGGACAGGCTCTGCCCACTACCCAGAATTTTCAGCGTCTGTACTTAAAATGTTTCCCAGGCATACAGAAATTGAAAGCTAGCATCTTGAGTCCATCCGTGCAAAGAGATAGCCTTTGAGCCCACAGTCGAAGTGAGGCTGAGTCACTAGGCTATTGCAGTGGACACACATATGTGGTGTTCTCTATCACTCAGAATTACTATCTAATTTGTGGTCCTTGATGATTTATTGCATTGGACGTAGTTTATTTCATTACATGCTGAAAAGTTTCCGAAATCTCCAGTCTGGCTAACAAACATGTATTTTTGTGTTGCAAAGAAGTATTCATCACTGCCTGTAATTGCCTTTCTTACAGCCTAGCAGCGGGTTGTTGCTGTGTGTGCAAAGAGGTGGGTCCTGGGCACTCTGGTGTGTTGGAGAGACAGACATCAAAACATAAGTAACAAATGAGAAGGAGAATATTTTTGAAAGAATATTCAGCTCTAACAAGAAGCTTTTGTGATATCTTAAATCAAGTACCATCAAAAAAGCTTGAACATCCTGTGTTTTAAGTCATTTCTCAGTTTAAAAGGGTTTGGACTTGGGGAGATGCCTTTCTTAAAAACCCTTGACCCTCTTACTCAGGTGTTAGAAGTTGTGTCCAGTGGTGTCTGTTGTCTCTGTTTTGAAGCAGAGCACCACTGAGGCCGCTCATCTGTCTGACACGAGGTCCTGTCTCCAGCCATCCTTGCGTCTCAGCAGCAAACCATGTCAGTGCACGAGCAGAGCAGCTTCCCTTGCAGAACGCCCTCCTGCTCTATTTTCACAGCAATCTTCAGTGTCTCTGGCTGCACGCTTTCCTCCTTTGAAAATAGTTTCCCAGTGACCTTTGTGCCACGTGAGATGTGTAGATAGCCAGGTGACATGATGCTTTTTGTTTGTAAGTAGCATTAACTCTGGATGACAAGAGACAGCGTAATGCCTGTGGGTTTGTTTGGAGTTTCTTGTAGTAGCTATTAAAAGTTTCTGCACAGTTCTACCACAGCAGGCTTTGTGAACTTTGCATGAAATGCTGCACCCTGAGGCATTGGTGGTCTTGTCTGTATATAAGCATATGTAAGTGAGCAATATTATATTTGTGTGTATAGGTACTTAATAAGTACGTAATATTTATAAAAATAGCTATTTGGTAACAACACTGAAATGCATAGGCAATGTAACCAGCTACCAGTGGTAGCATCCACACTGTTGACGTCTTAGAAGCAGCTTAAAGAAAGACTGTATCCTGAAACTCCAACTCTGGGAACAGAGGTGCTGAGACGCTCTAACTGCGAACTTGACCTTAGTTACCGGAGTCTGAAATGCAAATCACTAATGATCATGGGAGGGCTCCAAAAACCTGTCCATTGAAGAACATAACACCCTTGCACAGCTGAGATGTTGGGTTAGTGGAGGGATGAAAAACTCCCCTGTAACAAAATATCGTATTGTTCAATAGATAAACGACTGACTGAGGTCTCTTCAGGAAACCCTAGTCTAGAATATTTCTGAATTATTTATATTCTAATTACATTGTTCTGTTTGAGAAGTGTACGCTCTTGGCATATTCTTAGCATACTTTAGGTGCTGGTATGGAAAAAAAAGAGATTTGTTTTGTTTTACATCTACCTTTCCTCCTGCAAACTTTAGAAAGTGAAATATCATGCTTTGAAGGAGGCAAGATGACACGTTTATTCCTAGAATTCTTGCAGAGTGACTGCAAACTGTCATGACTTAAAAATACACTTTTTGTACATATTTACAAACACTGTTTTGATCTTTGTTTTTAAAGGCTCGATCATAGTGTGCTAATCCCTACATTTTTATCTGTTAAAGCAAACAGGGAGATCAGAGACAGGAATCTAATTTGGGTACACTCGTTGCTTAAACACGGGCAAAATAGCATGCAGTTGCTGTATGAATGTAGATTCAGTTTCGGTTGTTTCTCAACACAAAGTGCTCAGCATGTGATCGTTGGTTTCCTCCTTGCTGGCTCTGAAGCTTTGTACTGGTTGCTTGCTCATCACTATTGATTATTCTTGAGGAAAAAAAAATGTTGATTCTTTTTATATGCCTATATATGGAAGCAATGTCATGGATCTCCCAGTACAACTATTAATAGCCTCTCTACATATGCATAATAAATAATTTATTTTAATCTGCACTAACAGAAATGCACTTGCAGGAATGACAAGTGCCTTTTAAATATAAATCTGCATAGTTTTTTCCCCTTGCATGACTCACTCAGTTTGTCATTTCTGACTTGTTTGTTTGCTGTCTCTTTCACAAACATCCAAATCTTGTGGCTAAGTGATTATTCCAACTACTTTAAATAGTTAAGAATCTTTCAATTGCTACCTCTTCATATTAAAAGTGATAGTTATGGGTAGAAGTTTTAATAGCAGGGGTCTAAAGATGAGTTAGTAAAGCTTTTAAACTATCCTTAAAAACTGGGTGATTGGATCTTTCTTACTGTTAGGGGAGTCTGTACAGATTTAAATGTTTTGACTAGCATTATCTGTCGATCTCCATGTCCCAGGCAGAACCTCCTGATCCTCATCTCTCCAGAAGTAGCTAACACAGAACTGCAGAGGATTCCTTATTCCTGGTCACGGAACTGCAACCTCAGATCTTTCCCCCTTGTTTTATTTTTTTTTTGTTAATTAGTGTATCATAACTTGAAGTGACTGAAGATGTTCATGTGTTGATACAAATTCAGAATGCTAACTTCTATTTCACAGTTATTCATTTTGAAGAAAGGGGTTTTTGTGTCTGAAATCTGAGTCAGTGAAGTAGATGCAGAGTATGTCTAGAGATTGTGTGTTCTGGGAGCTCATTAAGGTTTATTAGCCTAATGCTGTTCTTTCTTAACTCCTTCCCAAATGTTTTTTGCAGCACCAAATAACAATGACAACTAATTTATAGTCAAAATGTTAAAATTTTTGATCATCCCTTCATGTTGCTCCCTGCCTTCCCAAATATCTAGACAGCTCTGTTAACATGATGAGGAAAGCATCATGAAGGATTTTTGGTTGTTTTTTTTTTTTTGTTTCTTTGTTTGTTTTCATTTCTTTACTTTTATTTCTAATGAAGTTAATAGTATAGAAGTTAACGAGAGTTAGTAATTGTTAGAATTTAGTCTTATTTCCTGTTTTCATTTGGTCTATTAAAACACACAAATCTCCAAAATTATAAATGTGAGTCATTAGCTCTGAGGCATATAAATGCTAGGCAGGCAGCCATGACAAATCCAGAAGTATTTAAATCTCTTGCTGATAAAAATAGGCACAGTAAAAATGTCAATAAATTTAAAATTAACCTTCTGTAAAAATGTAACCCCTGTTAACATGTAATGTCTTGAGAGATTGTTGCTTTAGGGCAGCATGTAAGTTACTACATGGTCTAAAAAAGTAAGTATTTAACATACAAAGGCCAAAAGCCCAGTCACTGCAATTTGCAGCATATGTTGTCAAGAAACCACGTAATGTGATGTAACCTCTGGTAGTTACATTGATGTTTTTCTTTCCAGGGGGATGCCAAAAGTCTTCTGGTCTCTGAGAACCTGAGCACTGGCCAAAAGTTGGACTTTTCAGATACAATGGTACAGCAGAAGCTGGATGAAATAAAGGACCAAATCAAGCGGGAAATAAGGAAGGAACTTAAAATCAAGGAGGGAGCTGAGAACCTCAGGAAGGTCACAACAGATAAAAAGAACTTGGCATATGTGGACAACATTTTGAAAAAGTCAAATAAGAAGTTAGAAGATTTGCATCATAAGTTACAGGAGTTGAACGCGCACATTGTTGTAACGGATCCAGAAGATGTTACAGGTACTGTATGTTATAATGATGGCAGTTTGCTTTTGTTAGTTTACATAAGCTATTGTCTGTTTCAATTGGAAAAAAACTGCTCTGGAAATGAGCAAACCTGTAGGTGGAAAATTGGTTACCTGTGTATGCTTGTTAGTTCTGACTCAGAAATAAATGTCCAGTCCCTCCGAGTTGAAAATTGTTTCCTGGGGAGGAGAACAGACTATTTGTTGATATGTGAAGATGAATGTAAACCTGTGTTGATTCTTCACTTTCAGTTATTACTGTATTCAGTCACAGTAGTATCATCTAGTGGCTTTTCATTATATAGGAGCAATTTTCAGTATGAAATATCCACAGTGAGGTTGCCCTTTTTAAGATATTTTGAAATTGTTTTAATTAGTATTTTCTGTGGCTTGGTGGTGAGTTGATATCACTTTATAAAAATATCAGGCTTGATATCTTAAGATGGAACATTGTGAAAGTGAACAGTCCTTTTTCAGCTTTATGGAATGACTTAGGAGGTGCTGCCAGCCTGTTGATTTCACATTACATGGACTCTTTCTGGCAAAAAGTTAAAATAAATGCACACATGCCATTGAAGGTGTTTATAAAGTGAGTGCCAAGCCTTAAGAAGCCTGGGCAGTAGAATAGAAAACTGCATCATCCTTCATTTTCTAGGAAGGTCAGTTAAGGTGAGAATTCAGGAGAATACTGGTAAGCAATATCAGGAATGCATAGTATCTGGTCCTGCAACGTGCTAGGAAAATGTTGCAGTGCCTATGGTACACTTGCACAATGTGTTCTGCATTTGTTGCTTTTGAGGTTTGAGAGCGACAGTTATGGGGGAAGGGGAACTAGTGAAGCGAAATAGTTGCTGCAGCATGAAATGAGAATACATACAATAATGTATGCTTCAGAGATGGCTGCTGGGTTTTCTAACAGGTATGAAGTGTTCTGTTTCGTACTGGCTGAGGTTTATGAAATTCCTCTTCAGTGTTGCGGGTAGAGGGGCCTTTAAAGGAACGAGCAGAAGGGAAGAGAAAGAAAATTAGATGCAAATTCTCTACAGTTCGAATATAAAAATTTTTGTAGACATAGATGTGAGAAATGAATCTAGTAGTGGAACCTGAAAAGCAGATGGCACATAACGTACAACAGGAGTGCCCCCTTCCAGGGCAGCATTTCAAAACTGTCACAAGAAGCTAATCAGCAGTATTGTCCCTGTGCCTGTGCACATCTCAGGAAATACTGCAGACCTTTAGAAAGCACTCAGTAGTTCTAAAGAGATTTAGATCTTTGGGTGCAAATAAATAATTAACTAATGCTGTTCAGGTCCTTGGTAAGTTTCTGAAAATGCCAGCAGTGCCCATTGCTTTTGTGAATAATGGATAGGAGCCAGGCTCATCCTGCCCATTATTCTACACCAGAGACTTCATGAAAGGCTTAAGGAGTAGAAGATCAAAGTTGATAATCTTATGTGCTTCTAACTGCTTTAGATGCATGCTAAGCCCCTTAATACCTTAATACTACATTTTTAACTTTCATTCTGTTCAAAATGTTATTGGCAGATAGCCTTTACAGCCTTAATTATTAAAACATGCCCTGAGAAAAGTGCATTGTTTCTTAATTACTTCAATTATTGCAGGCTACAAAACTTCATTGAGATCATTTTAAAATCAGAGCAGGTATTCCACTGTAAGACTCCTTTTAATATTTTACAAACTTCTAGAGGAAAAGAAAAAAAGATTTAAACCATCCTTTCTTAGATCCACAATCTACAACTATCCACCTCTCCAAAGCTGAAATTACTGAGCTTTTGTATCCTGTTTGCCTTGTAATTCAGTTGCCTGTCTCCTTCCTCCTTCGTGGTCACTAAGTCATGGGGGGAAGGGCTGTCAGTCTGCAGACAAACTGAATGCTCACTAGCAGGTGCATGTCATCTGGGTGTTTTTCTGATTTTAATATTGAAGTTTTATCTCAGTAATAGCTGAAGTCAAAACTATAGGCCTTGGCAAAGTAAGGCTGATAGTATAAGACTTAGGACACTTAAGCTTACTCTGTGTGTGTAAAATATTTGCATAATGTTCAACAGATACATAGAGACATGGCCTCAAACATCCCTGTCATCTGACAGCACAGCTCTGTGGGGAGGTCACAGCTATCTCAGCCTGGTAATTCTTGCTTCTGCTTCAGACTGACATCGGGAATTTTATAACCGTTTCCTCCAGTATGTAAGAGTACCAAGTATAAGTGCATTAATTCCAGACACTAGCTTTATTCTAAGTTGCAGCTTTTTACTTCAGCTTGTATTTCACCCTTTTCTAGTTTGTTAGGTACAAGTGATTTAAAAGAGTGGAAGATGTATATGGGAAATTAATGCAAAGTGTGAATATGGAAAATAAGGTTAACAAAACAAAATTTGGGGAGTCAAGGCTTATATTCTCTTTGTATACTTACAGTATTTTATACTTTTAGTGGGGTGGTCCTAGATTTTCCCAGTCTTCAAGGTTTGTTGTAAAGGTTACTGGGAGTTCTAAGTAGCAAAGTCAGGACTGAGATCCTTCAACAAGTAACCCTGAGAATAGTTGTCTGTAAGGTTATGATCCTGTTGACCTGTCAGGCCTGGTCTCTGAGGATTTTTGGACTGTTTCTGTTTCTATTGCTTGACTGAAAATGTGTAGTGGCGGCCTCAGAAAGTCATTTACTTTTCCCTTGTTGCAGTATGTGAGAAGTGGGTGTGAACATATGTTTGTAAAGTGCCCTACACTTAAGCTGGGAAGTGTCACACAAGCTGTTGTGACTCTCACTGCTGCTTATGGTTTCAAGCAGTGGCTTGTGTTACTTTTTTTTCTTTTTCAATGAACCACTAATTTGTAGTGCAACTACTCTGTAATCAGCACACTGTAATTTGTAATTTATGTAGGTAGGTCTCTCTGGAAGTACTGCCTCCTGTTTATTTCCAGGGAAACAGCAACAGATACAGAGAGCACAGTAACACTATTTGACAGAGCACATTCTCAGCTACAAAACACTATTTTTCAGTACAGTCACCACCATTAGCTGTGCATTTTCACCAGCCACGAACCACAGCCTGCATGCCACGCTTGTTTTTCAAGATAATAGATAAATAAACGTGCACCTCTGGAGGCGGCCAATGTCACTGTTGCCATTGCTGAAACACATCACCCACCACCTCGCATCCACTATTTGGTCTCTACAAACGTTCAGCCAGTGTCAATGAATGTCAGTGGATACCATTTCTCTGCTTGGAGGCATTTTTTTCATAGCAGCCCCCATAAGTTAAAACCATTGAATGCAATCTTAATAAATATTCAGTAGAAAAGCGTGTCATTAACATTCAGTTTTAAATGAGTTGGGATATTTTGATGGTATCTTGCCTCGAGTTGAAAGCTTTCCACGTCCTGATCCCATAGGAAATTATTTTCCCAACTACTAAAATTGGTATTAAACCTTAACCAAGAAGTATACTTTGCTGGAAAAAAAACCAACAACAACCTGTATCGTTGAGTGTGAGGACAGATACGGCAGTTGATGTGTGCTTCAGAAACAACTGTAACCATAATGTATGTTTACTTTCCAGTATGAGGTTGCTGGTAAATCTAGATCTGTTCTGGAAGTGAGACTTTGCACCCTGGTCTGTCCTCGTCATGCAGCAGACTAGTCATACTAGGATGCAGGCTTTTAAAATTCATGTGTCAGCACTTAAATGTGAGGCAGAATGCAACAATATAGATGGAGTAGGACAAGTGTAGTAACCATTACAGCTGAAAATCAGAGAGATTTATTTGAGTGTATGACATGAGGATGTCATGTCTTCACTCATAGACATGAAAGCATTTTGTATCGTTAAAATATATTTCTGCATATAAGCACAGATTAAATTGATATTTTTTCATGTGTCTAAAAAGTCACAGTAGAGATTGCCCTTTTTAATATTATTCAGGGAGGTAAAAGGTTGTACTAGCTTACCTGCAGCAAGGCACTGATTTCATTAGGAAGGGGTTGCAACAAATTTAGTTCAGGTATTGACTTTTTAGATGTCAGACCTATGGTACTGATGTTTGTCAGAATTGTAACTTTGGGGAACCTCAGTGTGGAATAATGCTTTTGAAGCAGTGTTGAGACAATTTGCTGTCGGGTTTTCAGTAAGTCAAATTTGCCATTAAACAACTGAAATTCATTTCAAATTGAAGCGTTTTTTTAAGGAAATATTTTAAGGAAATAAGTGCTGGATGTTCTCTGTAAATGCAGAGCATCCACTGCTGCCTTGGACTTGCAGACAGGTTAGTTCAGTGCTATCACATCTGATTTCCTGTCTGTTTGGTTTTCTGTTTTTTTTTTTTCAACCCCAGCAATACCTGAACAGTGTTTCTGTTGGTTATGGCACCACATTGAATGTCCTCAAATAAATTAAAATTGTATCCCAACTTGCCACTGAGCTTAGCAGTATGCTGCACTGCCATCAGAAGCAAAATGTGGACAGTTACATGGGCTCTTACATTTCATACTGAGCTTGTTGAATAAACCATGTGGGGAAGTCTTCAAAGAAAAGAGAAGCAGTCTAGAAAAAGTAGAATTGTCACTACTCTAATAGGGATAGCTTAGAGCATTAGTATAAGGTCATTTAGAAACAAGGAGTGTTTGCTGGTAAGCATTATGCAGACTCAATCGAACTGAAGAGGTTCTCAGAAGAGGAAAGATAGAAATGTTAAGATTAACACTTCAGACCAAAAAGTGCCATTATCCTGATGCAGTCCAGAGACTCTAAAAAAAAATAAATCCATTAAAGCATTACCTTTTACTTCAAGTCTTATATTTTCATGAAAACAGGATGTCACGCGTCCTGGGAAGCAGTATCAGAGCTCTGGCAGCCTGGCTGTGTGTTAACAGACTGCACAAAACTCTCTAATGTTAGCAGCCAAACAGGCTAGTTACGTGAAATGAAGTCTAGTTCACTTGAAATACATCTGTTACTTCACTTGATACTCAAAATATCAGGAGAAAAATGCTTAGGGGCACTAATCCATTGACCAGAAAATCTGTTACTGTCTTATGCAAAGCTGGACTTGAATACATCAGAAGTGACGAGTCTTGTGCTATCCTTATTGACCAACTAACATGACAAACTAGAGAATCTGTCAGTTTCCTTGGTCGTCACTTACCTTACTTCAGTGAATTATCAATTTGGTATAAATACTTAAATCTTCAATTTTAAGTTTGTACGTAAAATCCTATTGATTGCACTTACCTAGATGAACTTATTACTTATTTGTATTACAGCAGTGACTGAATGTCTCCAGGTGAGACTCAAGCCCCTAGGTATGATGCTTTACATAAATAGGTAATCACTTTAGTATGGCTAGTTTTCTCTGCTTAGGTTTTAAGAGATGCAAAGAGAGGAAAACAGATGTAGCTTGTAGCGCTGCAGCTAAGATCGTCAATGCTTTCCATAATAGGACCTGTTTGGCTGGCTGACTTAAACTTTAATCTGAATTCTTCTATAAGAAGCTGCCTCAGGCTGTTTATTGTAATGAGGCTGGGGGGGAAGGAGTCACTTGGAAGCCATTTCTGAGAAACTTATAGTAAACAACTATAATGTTCCACATTCAGAAGTTCAGCAAGCAGCTTCTATGACAGAAAGATTTAAAGAAAAAAATCCTAATCATTAGTCTGTATTACAGAACTTTTCTTTGTTGCTGCTTGCTAACAAAACATATAGTAGCTCAGTTTCTACTAAGCAGCAGAGGGGAATGTAAGTCACAAGTGCAGGCCAGCTCTTTAGATGACCCAGGTAGGTGATGTGGTTATACCTTCACAGCACAGACAGGCAGAGGGAGATAATAGCAGCTGTATGGGCAGCCAGAATTGTGGTATTCTCTAATTAGTGCTTGACTTGCAACATTAGTATTGTTTTAATGCAAAGGAAGAGTGCTTGTTTGCATCTGTAAAAGCTGTGAAAACAGACTTCAGGAGAACCACAATCTTCCCCATGGATCATCAGAGGACTGGGATCTTTAAGTGGTAGAGGCCGGCAACATAAATCTAGAGTTGGTAAATATTCATTTACAAAATTATTCTACTTTATAAGGAGACCTGACACTGTGACTTTTAAGTTTCATGTTTGTTTTAATTTTGAATAGATTAGTAGGTGAGGATTTGTTAAATGTGAAGACATAAGTAAGAGAAAAGCATGTTGTTAATCTTTTTTTTATTAATACCAGATTTAAGCTAAAGCTGTGCAAGTGCAGTATTTCACAAACCAAGCCAAAACACTGAGGAGAGGAAGAATGAGAAAACAGATGAGGAACAGCACAGATTTATTTTTTTTTTAAACATCTGGTACTTTCTGTAGTACGTTTCAGTAGTGAGTGTGCAGTAGGAGTCTTAAAGTGTTTTCAACTGAAGAGTGAATTAACAGCAGAGGAAATTAAAAGTTCTACTTTATGAAAACTGTGTGTAGCCTCACCAAAGACTGCAGCGTAGAAGAAGGAAATTACATAGCAAACTCAAAAGTAAAATGTATTAAATCTCAAACATTAGTTATTAGAAGCTTCTGCAGAATAAATACGAAATGGCAGATAAGACACCCCTAGATAACTCACAGTTAATAATTTGTAAGTTACTAGTGCAATGCCTGTGTTTTCTAATAACCAAGGATGTCAGGAATTTGATCCACCATCTTAGTTTTAATTCAAGGAAAGTTAATTAAAATTGAAAAAAGACCTTACTGTTGATATCAGATAAATAGTCTTCACGAGACCAACTAAAGTCATTTTTCTGTAGAGAATCTATTCCCTCAATGATAACAACAACAATGACAAAACATTATAGTAATGGTATATAGTAATATATATAATGGTATATAGTAATAAGTAATATAACGTATCCTTTTCTACAAAAAGTTTAAATGAGAAGTCATTGGGCCTGTTAGGGAAGACAATTAGCCATAGCTAAAAGGATGATCTTGTTGGAAATCACAGAATAATTAACCATTAGGAATTAGTCCAGTGACCACTTGTTTTCAGTTCATTAACAGTTCATGGTGTAGAAGCTGAAATAGGAGTCAGTGGTGAATAGACTTTTCTGGAGAAGGAAAACCAAGTTAAGGAGTTCAAGTATGTAACTTGTTTGATTGAAAACTAACTCGCATTCTATTGAATTAATCCAACAAGATGGAGGTCTAAACACAGTAATATTCTCGAATGAAAAACTTCATTCTTCCCACAGATCATCATGTTCAGTATATCCAATTAACCCATGACTCAGCTCTGCAGAGCAAAAATCATTCAGACTGATGTAGGAAAAGGCTCACATTCTCTGTTCTTACTTTTGACATAAATTGTGGCTACAGTGGGCGTAGCTGTAATAATATGCTGAAATCAATGAGGAAATAAATTTACTTAATATCAGCATTTAGAATATGCTTATTGGTATTGAATAGTACTGTCCAAGTTTGTTTGTTGTAGATTTTAAATCGAACTGTAAGAAAGCTTAATGGCAAAGTGCGCTTTTAATTGACTCAAGACATGCCAGAAGAAATAAATCGCCTTTGAAACAAAAATAGCCCAAGCTGCAAACCTGCCTATATTACCACTCCCGGAAGTGATTCATGTGAATTAGGACGTGTGTGGGAGTCACTGTACTTTGGTGAGGCTTTGCATGTTAAGGCGCATTTGCAGAGCTGCTGCAAAGTAGCTCAGGACAGGACAGTCAGTCTGAAGTGCCGAGCGAGATGTTTGTGCTTTGTTTATCTATGACTTAATAGAACAGAAAAGTTTTCGGGGTGTTTTGAGCGTTTTTGGTTGTTGTTTGTCTGTTTGTTTTCTGCTTGCTTTTTATTTTTTTTTTTCTTTGCTCCACACACTACATCTTGCATTTAATTCACAGATTGTCCTAGGACTCCTGATACTCCAAATAGCGATCCTCGTTTTCCTACCAACAACAGATTGATGGCCTTAAAGAAGCAATTGGACATAGAACTGAAGGTGAAACAGGGAGCAGAAAATATGATACAGATGTACTCAAATGGTTCTTCAAAGGTAAGGCTTTAGAAGGCTTAAAGAACGTAAAAATAATTGTGGAATTTCCTATCGCTGCAGTATGAAAGTACAGTGTGTAAGCAGCGTGCAATTTTGGTGTTTTGGGGTTGATTTGTTGTTGTCACTAAGTAGCAATGTAGAATCTGCTACAGACTGCTAGGCTGTTTTTGTTGTGGTTTCATACCGACTCAGGATACTTGCTAGACCTGGTTGTTTTAGCAGCCTGTCCACATGCAATTCAACCTCCATAACAAATCCGGTTTACTAAATTTAGTATGTCTGGTAATCTTTGATCATGTGTGATTTACAAAGCAGCAGAGCTTGGTATGGAATCAAGTGGTGGCTGATGCTTTTTCTAGCCCCGCTGAAAAATGTACATCTGTTAAAGTTAAGATGTGCATGACAATTATACTGAAGGTGATATTGGCAGATACATTTCTGAAATTTTCATCTCATTTTAGTTGCTAGTAACAAGACTTGTACCAAAAAATGTGTTTCAATAAGAGAAGCAAAATATTCAGATAGCATTGTTATGATCAACACTGGTACACAGATATGTGAAATACTTCCTGTCTTTCCCTCTCCCTTGTGCTTATTTACTGATTTATTTAACAGAAGCGTTGTATTCTAGAGGTAGTTACCTGATAACATCAAACTCAAACTAGAAGTTCTCCAAGAGGTAGGGAAGGGGCTTGCTAACTCCTAGGTGGATTTGACTTATTACAGTCTTAACTAGGTAATAAAATTCATCATACATGAAGAGAGCCCTTAACTCAACTGAAAGACTCACCTAATTTTTTAATGCGGGTAGAAGGGGAAGACTTATTTTGAGTATAAGGTAATCATGCTTCTCAAATGAGTAAAACAGTGTCTAGGGGGATCCTACTTGCAGCCCCTTCTGCTTTTGTTAGTTACTAGTTATCTTTGCTTTCCTCTTATTACATCATCATGGAGATGAACCGAATCTCCAAACTAAGGTGAAAAACTGACATAGGTATAATAAATAATATGTAGTAGCTTGGTTGGTGTTAAGAAGTTGGTAAATACAATTGAAATGTTTTAAGTTCTTATCTGGCTGGCCCAACACGTAGATGAGATGAGTCAGTGAACTTATTCAAAAGAAATGTTTGATTTGAAAAGTAAACTTCTGTAAATTGCATTGCTGCCAGTTGGAATTTGTACTCACCAAAAAGTATTGGTGAGGAACTACGTATTTGTCAATGAATTTCCTCCAGGGACTGGTGGAGAGGCAGATTACTTTTGTACCTGCCTACTCTTTGACTTCTTTGTACCTCTTGCTAAAACCACAGAATGCTGCTCACTTTCTGAAAAATCATTTTAGACTAGATGGTCCATAAGTGCCATCAAGCCCATGCCGACCTGTGAGCCAGCTGGTGCTGGTAGCCTTAGCTGAAAGTGACCTGTCACCTCCTAGCCTGGGGCAGTTGGAAGAGGTATCTGCAGTGCCTTATGACTAAAGGCCTGGGAATGCAGTCCTCAGCTCCTGGAAGCCCTGGAGTCCACATCCTCTGGGGCCATGTACTTAACATCAGGCTAACTCAAAAATAATAATCAGTTGATCCAAATGGATCAAAAGATGTACATGATTTATATCCCTAATAAACCCTCAGCAAGTAACCTTATAACAGCCTGAAAAGAACTTAACTAAACACTCAGGCTGTAACATCAGACATTGCTAGCAAGCTTTGATCAGACCAGGAACAAGAGGTAAATTCTGGCTCACTTTATGACTGAGGCATGTAATTAAAATTGTTGATTGAATCTTGTTCTTTCAATTGGTTCAAATGAGCTTACCAGTTTGGGTGTATGTGGTAACTGCGCTGGGGAGAACAAGCTGGAAACACAAGAGCATTGCCAGCTGCTTCAGCAAGCTGGATGGAAAGGATGTGTATTCATTCTCATGGTCATAGTACTGTGTAGTGAGGTAATTCAGCATACCGTAGGCTTAAGTATGATGGTTAGGTTGTAGAAAGCTGAACTTAAAGTTTCTGGATGAGGTGGCCAAAAGGGGCAGAAAATTCTCACTTTGAATCCAACACGTAATTGGGAACATTGAAAAGGGCCCTCTTTAAAATATATTAAACTATTTTGTTACCCAGGCATACCACGATGGAATTTCAGATTTGCTGTATGATTTTCAAACCTAACTTTAATGGAGGGAGGTCGTAGTTTGTTTCTTAAAGATTTAAAACAAACAAACAAACAAAAAACAACCAGTAGTCTGCTAATAATAATAAGTATGTTATCTCAGGTGAAGGGTTTTCCATTTGAACTTAGTCTGCTTTCTTCAATAACTTTCAGCTCAACCTATTCTGATGTGTTTCTGAGGTACTGGATCATTTTTCCTTGGACTTGCTGAGATCTGTCTGAGATCCCGTGACAGCTTTTGCAGATCAGTTTATCAGGCACTGTCAGTTTCTGTGTACACAAGAGATGCTTTGACGTATTTTTGTTCAGACCCCATCACTAACGGAGCTGCTAAGTATAACACATCCATCCTGATCTTGAGGATGGGATGTTCTTTCCCTTGAAAACATAGGGTGAGCTAGAATCCCTGGCTAGTTCAGTAATCTTAAATTAGCTCAGCTTCACACGCTGGTGCTCCTCAGCAAGCGCATCCACTGGAGTGACAGGGTGTGGGAGACAATCAGGTGAAGTAACGTGAAAAATGAGATGAAAACAAAGATGAAAAATGCTTTCAGAGTTTGTGTGCATCCGGATGATGCATGGATGAAGTTTAATATACGATTCTGACTTGTATGTAATCAGTTAAATCCTATGCTCTGCTGTAGACAGTAGTTATTTCAAAAGGTGATATTAGTATTTGAGAAGGCACTCATTTAACAAAATTAAGCGTACTAATTAAATAGATGGATAGCTGATGTGGAATCTTCAGCATAAGGACGTTATAAGCATAAGGCTTATGCTAGTCTTCATATTTGAAACACTGATTAGTATTACAAATTAAAATCAAGAGTATGTACCCAGCAGGATATATAGTATAAAAAATATCAGAGTGGGTGATGCATTCGGTGCAAGGTCATAGTAGAGATCTGTGAAGGCATTTTTTTTTTTCTTCTCAGCACACTGATTTTTCTAACATCCTCTTTATAGTACTCACATGTACTGTAGTGCCAATACTTCTAGCTCTGGGAATCTGTACTATGCAGTAGTTGTCTTGATGGGGATAAGGGGAGAAATATATATATATTTTTTTTTAAGTCTTAAATAGTTGGTAAGTTCATTTGAAAATTAAAAATTTAAGTATAAACCACATTTACATTAAAATGGCTTCATAATGAGGTTATGGGGTGGCTGCAAAATAAGTTAACCAGAGTGGCCTTTGGGCTACAGCAAGTACAGTATTCATCTGTACTGATTACTGTTTGTTAATCTGGCACTGCACAGCCATGACAAATTGACTGCCTTAATTTTTCCCACGCTCCTTTTCTGCTTGAATCTAAGTCAGGTCATCCTTAAGTTATCTTGTAACTCCCTATCCAACAACCGTTTGATAATCCATCATAAATCAAGTCTCTGGTAGCTCTGGGACCAAAAACACTGTATACCTGAAAAACATGTGAGGATATTTATCCACACTCCTGAGAGTGAATTGGTATTATTGATGAATCTGAAAGTTCATTTTCAGAAATGTTCTCCTCTAAGCTGCTTTTCTTGTTATGACTTTTGATAAAAGGAATTGGGTACCTCCATCTATTTGGGGCAAAAAAAATGTTGTCCCTAAGTTGCTGATGAAATAGTTAGTGAAGTAATCTGGTATTTTGTGTTTATTCATGGAAAAATAATCATTTTGATCAGGCAAAAATAAAGCAGAATTAATTATAATTAAATATAACGTGCTATGTGAGTTAACTTCGTATTTCTAATGTAGAGATGGAAGTTTAACTCAGGGTGAATTGGCACAGTGATTCTTGTATGTATTTAGTCTAGCAGATTTGGTTGTTGGAAGAGTTATTAGAAGAGTTCTTATGTTCACAAGGGGGAAAGGCTTAAAAGTAGAAGAGGGCGGATTTAGGTTAGACATCTGGGAGACGTTTTTTACTCAGTGCTGCAGTACTGGCACTGCTGCCCAGAGAAGCTGTAGGTGCCCCATCCCTAGAGGTGCTTAAGAGGAGGCTGGATGGGGCCCAGGGCAGCCTGAGCTGGTGGGTGGCAGCCCTGTCCATGGCAGGTGGGTTAGAACTGGGTAATCTTTGAGGTCCCCTCAAACCTAAGCCATTCCATGATTCATTATAAACTTGTCATTCTCCATAGGATGGAGGTATTTTACACTTTTGAAATATATTCAGCTACAGGTGGGTGTTTCTAGACTGTGCCTCCTGTATCCAGCTTTAAACAGAGTTTCCATGGGAGTGGTTTGTAGTCTATAAATTAATCTGAATACCCTTTGGTCCTAACCTGATTTCCTCTAGATTCTTAACGTGGTTAGTGGAATTGGTCTGCTATATCTAATGAGCTACGTAGTTGATGTTCCTGAGCAAGTGGTTTTTAAAGCTTTCAGTGTATTGTATTGTGAAGAGTTTATTATCTTTTTTCTTTCAATAGGATCGAAAACTTCTTGCCACAGCTCAACAGATGCTCCAAGACAGCAAGACAAAAATAGAAGTTATAAGGATGCAGATTCTTCAGGCAGTTCAGACCAATGAATTGGCTTTTGATAATGGTGATGGACTACAAAATAAATATTGATCTTATTAATGTCAGAATACCACATAGATATGTACCTATTTGCACACAGAGCTACATTTCTAAAACAAAGGTTAGACAAACTTGCATGAACTGAAAATAGCAAAGTACCTTGAAGCTTATCGAAGAGAAATACAGGCTCTCTTCATCATCTTGTTCATTCCTTATCAAGTCCACTCCTGTTCTGTAGGCTTCATTCTGTGTGTGTGTTTTCTCTGTTTTGACAATAACTAGTACTTTAAAGAAAAGTATGTACTTTTCACTATCTAAAAAACAAAACAAAACTGATGTAAGTATAAAGCCTGTTTGTCATCCTTAAGTAGATTGACCTAATTAGTACTAGTGAGAACAGAGGTGTAGGGAAACTTTTATTATTTTAGCCTTTAGGCTTGACTGGGAAGTAGTCCAAAAATCAGTATTTTTTTAAAAAAGAGCCAATTTGAAACACAGATATTACTGCATTCAGAAGTAGTTTTAGAATTGCTCCTGAACTCCTGAACTTTAATAGCCATGAGTGTAGTAAAAGTTGTGGGCATATTTGGTACATCTCTAAGTTTTAAGCTTCATTTGTATGCATCTCACAGAGTACTGAAATTGTAAGATAATGCTCCTAATCAGGCCTTCAGTGTACTCTCTAGGTATTGTTTGTTTTGTGGACTTGGATGTTTTTACAGTTATGACACTTCTGGCTTTCAATACCCCACCTTAGCACATGGGTTGTGCATGTTATTTGAAAAACAGAAAAACAAAGAAATCCTCAAAATGTATAGTCTGCTTTCTAGCCTAGACTTGCAAGAAAGCATGAGCAGGATAAAAAGTGCACAGCCATGAAAGTGCATATTGTTTTATCTATAAATAGGCGTTGATGCTGGAAAGGGCTTTCAAAGGCCTTTAATGTTCCTACTACTCCTAGAGATGGAAACAGTAAGGAATGTATCTAGCAGACTTTCTTCATTTAGGAAATCTTAACATCGTAAGAGCTGGATATTAAAAGCTGTTAATGCAAACTATGTAATGCAAACCATTCAGCATTATACTTGGCATTTACTATGAAGCAAGAGAATTCTCAAAAACTGATCAGGGATATATGTAGCTACAGAGTAATTTGAAAGATAAACCCTCAGAATATGATTAAGAAATGTGCAACTCTCAGAACTTCTTTCTGCCAGCTGCTGATGTTTGGAAGATTTGGCTTTCTATGAAGGTCATTTATCCCATAGCTTCCCCAGTGATGTCTTTTATTTCTTGCACCTTCTAGCAGTTACAGCCCCACAAGTAAACAAAAAGTGCCTGTTTACTGGAGTGAGGCTGTGATTACTGCTTTTGTTCTTCAAAAAAGAATTTATTTTTTTTTAATTAGAACTTCACTGTTACTTTTATGACATACATAAAGCTTTTCTTTGGTCTACCAAAGCTGAATTTTTTCCCCCTCTGTGTGCATTTAGGAGGGTTTAATATATAAAGATATTGAGAAAGGGTGTGGTTTTCAGTGACGTCTGTTTATATTTCTTTGCAGCAAAACCTGTGATAAGCCCTCTTGAACTCCGAATGGAAGAACTACGGCATCATTTTAGGATAGAATATGCTGTTGCAGAAGGTGCAAAGAATGTGATGAAATTACTTGGATCTGGGAAGGTTACCGACAGAAAGGCACTTTCAGAAGTAATTCGTCATTACAATTTCTGGAACTTTACTTTAAATGTTCTTTCAAGGGGAAAAAAAACCAACAAATATTGTGTTTGTTTTTGTATTTTAAAAAGGCACAAGCAAGATTTAATGAATCAAGCCAGAAGTTGGACCTGTTAAAGTATTCACTGGAACAGAGATTGAATGAACTTCCTAAAAACCATCCCAAAAGTGGTATTATTATAGAGGAGCTTTCATTGGTCTCTTCACCCACATTAAGTCCTCGTCAAAGTGTAATATCTACTCAGAACCAATACAGTACACTGTCCAAACCAGCAGCTTTAACAGGTATGCTTTATGGGAGTTCTTTTATTTTCATTACATGGTATAAAACTAGTCTTTAGTGCTAACTTTATTGCCTTTCTGGAAATATTTCACTGTTGGTTCTTTGGTCTGTTTTTTTTGTTTGTTTGTTTTTAGACAAAGGCATTTTAAAGTGAACAGTGCAATGTCTGTGATTTATTTGTTCACCATTTTATAATCCAGCTGAAATGAAAGTGAAGTTCTGGCCTTAAGTTAGGTCACTAGGGAACAGTATTGTGAGCATTCTCTGCTTTTCATCTTCACGTTATCAAGCAGTTTTAAAGGTGGGCAAGTGTTATTATCCCCGTTTTACAGATGGGGAAACTGAAGTGCAGAAGGGTTAAGTGACTTCTCTGGTCATATAACAAGTATGACAGAGCTGGAAATAGGCACCCAGATTTCCTCCCAATCCCTATTTTGCTCACTGGACTACAGTGGCTTCCCAGAAGGGTAGATTTGTGTTACTAGAAACTTACTTATTTCTAAAGCAAAGAGGGAGATCCTAACAAAAATGCACTGTTATCAAAGCCCCTATTAATGGACAGACTTAACCTACTGTGAGGGAACATACTTAAAAGCTTCATGCAGTTTTTCAAAGTTGGTTCACCTGAAAGTATTGTCCTTCATTAGAAGTAAACTTTTCAAACAGATGAGCCAGACTTTGACAGAACTTTTAAGTATTTTCCCTCCTGATGCTCTCGAAGTAAATACTTTTGAACACTTGAAGATATGTTGCTTTACTAAATATATTTATTAAGTGGCCACGTAAGAATTGCCAGTACAGAGTTTGGTTTGTTTCCTAAACAGTTCTGTATGTAACTATTAAACCAACCATCAACAAAGGAAAAAGTTTTACAATCTCTAACTTGAAGGCTGCTCTCTTCAACTGTGTATAACTGATACCAGAATTTCAAGTAGGGTTCTATTTTAAAAGAAAAAGAGAAACTCTTCTGCCAAGCTGCAGCAATAATGGACAAGACTACTTGCCCTACATTTTGTTACCAAAAGTAACTGAGGGTAAAAAGCATCAGAACCTCAGACAAGAGCCCTTATGAGGATACAGAGTGGAGGGATTGTATTTGATAAAGAAGTCCCCCCTCAAATGGTGTATGATCAGGGCACAGCCAACCATGCCTTTTTTAAAAAAACCTTTTTTTTTTTAGTCTTTTTTTTTTTTTTTTGTAAAAGATAATCACAGCTCATATGCCTTACAGTGACAGACTTCTCTCTGAATACAATCAATAGGTACATATTAAGGTATATACTGGTACTTTCCAACAGCAATAATCAAAACAGAGCTACGTCCTTGTAAAGCTCTTAATTTGTCACTTTCAAATCAACTATGCAGAGCCTTTGTATTCAACTAGATTTAGCAGTGTCTTTGATTTTGCCTTTAACATTTTGTGAAATATAGATGAATGCTACTGTCATACTATTTTAAATGCTCCAATGGGACTTTCTTGTATGTATCTCATTCTACAAGATTATGATCTTTCTGAATATTAATTTATCGGGATGTTTTTCTAAACAGTTCTGGAATTAAGTATTTTATTTTGTAAACTGCCTGGGGAGCCAACAGAATCCTTGCTGTTTATACCATTACGCTGTTCTCAAACATAAGCTGTCACTTATGATTGTTAGATCCTAGAAGATGGAATATGATCTCAGATTGGTCTGTCAGTCTGTTTTGTGGGCTGTAATATTGCCAGGCTATTTGTAGGTTCGGTCTGATTTAGCTTTCTATTATGAAAGAGTATTTTTAAGTTTTGCAGTTATGTACATAGGAGCTACACTACCCTAAGAGCTGTGTTTCTAGGTGACTGCATGGTTTTGAACTAATTTCACCACTTTTAATAGTCAGTTTCATCACTGCTGGTTGTGTCATAGCTTTACAGATGCTATCTTTACAGGATACGGTAAGCCGTTACGTTCAGATGCTGCTGTGCTGCTGGAGGAAGCTCTTTCAAATTAAAACCACAGCCTCTTCCTCAGTTGGTTGAAGATGTTGGAGAACAGCTTCTCAGCTGTTTCAGCTTTAATAAATCCCAATTCAGTAAAGTTCTAACAATTCAGTGATTGTGAATTATATACTAACTCAAACCGGACTTAAGCAGCCAGCAGGCAGATTTCATTTCTTGTTTTATTTTAAACACAAAGTCTTAACAGTCAGTGTGCTCATGTTAATTATCCAAGCAATCTATCCAGTACTGCTTGTTTATTATCCTGTACTACTTGGTTATGTAAAACTCAAGGAAAAACTCAGACTGTCCCATGAGCAATGTTCAATTGGTCACTTTAGAAAGTGGCGCTTCTTAGAACTTGAACCCAAGTCAGTTCAATTCTTAACAGAAGAAAAGTTTTTCTGAGGCTAAATTATAGAACAAAAACTGGTTTTGTGGCATTGTGGTGGACTGCTGCTTCCTTCTAGAAAGCTGACTCTCACATACTTCACTTTTTTTAATGCTTATCTTCAGGTTTGTCTATCTTAAGTCTATCGCTTGTTTTTTATCTGATTGTTATTATACCCAGCACGGTTTACAAGATGAGCTCTTGCCATAATATCAATCATTAGTCATTCACTTGGCACATTTGAGCACAGAAGTTTTTGACAGGTAGTTGTTTGTCTTGTTCTAGGTACCCTGGAAGTTAGGCTAATGGGCTGCCAAGACATCTTAGAAAATGTTCCTGGTCGATCGAAAGCCACATCAGTTCCTCTACCTGGTTGGAGTCCAAATGAAGTCAGAACAACTTTCATGGGCAGAACCACTAAAGCTAAAGCTGGGATTAGTAAAAACCTTCTGAAAACGGATGACTTGTCCAGTTCAGTATACTTTCTATTTTTATGCTTACCTTTTATTTACATTTTAATATGCATGCTGTGTTTTGTAATTAGAAATACTAAATTGACTTGAAGCTGTAAAATTAGTGTTCCTTCAGCTGTCAAGTTGTTATGGATTTAAAAATAGAAATAAAAAAGCCTGCGCTATTATGATCATAAGAACCAATTAAATATGAGAGCTCTTTTTAAGGGAAACTTACTGAAGACCTCTTTGTTTGTGGAAAATCCTCTTATAGTTCTAAGCTGAGTTTGTGTACTTTACTTACAGATGAAGTCTGTGCTGTACTGAAGCTGGATAACACTGTGGTTGGTCAGACTAGCTGGAAACCAATTTCCAATCAGTCGTGGGATCAGAAATTTACACTGGAACTAGACAGGGTAAAGATGCAGTCTTACTTCATTGACATGTATAGTTAATTATGTAGATTAAAGTAATGTTGCTTTTTACGTATATATGTTTTTATATATATAAAAACTTTTTTTTTTTTTTTTTTTTTTTTTTTTTTTTTACTGTTGTAGTTAAGTTCAAATTATAGGTATACAAATATTTTTGTCCTTAACAGAAGGAGTAACCTGGAGGTAAGCTGATTTGCTGGATTGCTGTTCTACAGCTTTTATCTTTCCTCACTTAGGAAGAGATGTAATGTCTTTTCCAAGGCCCAACACTTATTATCTTTTTAGCCTGTAACAAAGGTGCTGAAATCAGCTTTTCATTTATAAGGAAACTGTATCAAATACAGTGCAGATATTTTGGCAAACCTATATCATAGAATTTTTACAGTGTTTATCCATAATTATTACATGTTCTCAGGTGAAGCAGATCAGTTCTTATTTTTCAGGAATAATAAAATCACTAACATTTTTTTCCTAGAAACTTAAGTGTTATTTTGATGGACTTCAGTATTTGGAATGACACTTGATAACTTTTTTCCATGTTCTTTTTGAAGAGAATTTCTGACATGTATTTATAGGTACCTAATACTCATAGTATTTTAAGGGTGCAAAGATATCTTTTTTTTCAGTGTAGAGTAGGCTAAAAATTAAATTTTGTTTTAGAAACCTAAATGGCATCTCAGGCATATACATAATTAGGGGAAAAAAAAGAATAAAAACAGGAAAAAAACACCCCTACCTTCCTGGTTGTACTGACCAGTATTTCACTCTCACCACCCAGCCTGTCTAAGCCAAGCCAAATCCCTTCCAGGGTGAAGAAAGAAGCAGATTTAGACCTGCAGCTAGAGAAATCCAGGTTCCCAGCAGGAGTGCAGAATAAAACTAGCAGTTGTGGAGTCCATAACTTTTTGTGTGTTATTTTCAGATGGCTTTTTAAGTGTGTTTTTGGTGCTGGAAAAGAATCTTGCTTCTGCTGGGTGTGGCCACCTATCATCCCCTGTATTTCAGACCCGTGTTCTCAACCCTATGATGTTTTTCTGTTGCTTCCTCTTTACTTTGATTTCCTTGAAAACCCACACCTCTCAGATAAAGAGGGTGAGCTGATGCATCGTGTGGAATTAGGTTATGCCATCTGAAAAATAGTGCCACACAGCGCTGACTCTGCGGTGCACTGCAGGATTTTGCAGTTTGCAGCAAGTTTTGTACGGAGCTTATAAGACACCTTAAGAATATGTAATCCCACTGGCAAGATAGAGGCAGTTCCTTTCATGACCGTGTTACAAAAAACTGCGTGTATTTCTAGAAATGGTGTATAAAGTCTTGAGGTACACATCCTGAGGTGTACCAAACACAGAGTGTCACTGTACAGCCGTGAAATTCAATTGATGCATGTATGTAATGTAAAAAATTAGCAAAGCTGAGCTTTCTAAGAACAGTTAAAAGCTTGTTGCCAGAGTTTAAGCTATGAGGTACTGAACTGCTAGTGCTTTTGTTAGACTGACTGAAAACTGGTGAATTTTTTTTTCACTTTTTCCTTCTATTCATGACAATTTTAGTCTTCTTACTTGGACGCTGGAGATCACATTTGAACTAATGCAGAACAGTAGTCATCCTAGTGAGAGTTTGCTTGCTGTGGCTAGACAGCCATAGAAGCTCTGCATTTTGGTCATGAAGCACTAGATCTCATGGTTGTGGAGAAGTAATTATTGCAGAAGAATTGCTACTGAGGAATTTCCTGTGTTTGCTTGCTGTCACAGTCACGTGAATTGGAAATCTCAGTTTATTGGCGTGACTGGAGATCCCTGTGTGCAGTGAAGTTTCTGAGGCTGGAAGATTTCCTGGACAACCAACGGCATGGCATGTGTCTCTATCTTGAACCACAAGGCACTCTGTTTGCAGAGGTAAGAGTTGTTCCTTCAATCACTTGGGCACAATTGCAAGTGTTATCTTGCAGAATAGCTTAACAAATTATTTTCTTAAACTTTTAAGGATGTGTTTTGTTCTGAAACTGGAATTATAACATCCGTTACTTGAACTGCAGGTCACGTTTTTCAATCCGGTTATTGAAAGAAGACCAAAACTTCAGAGACAGAAGAAAATTTTTTCAAAACAGCAAGGTAATTGTTTAATACAAACATATGAAACTTTAAAATTATATAGATAAGTGATATTTTCATACTGAGATTTAATGTTTGTCTGTGAGTAAAGCCGTGCTAATGAAATGTTTGGCACCTCACTAGGAAAATTTTTGTTCAGGAATTCCTTATTATACATTAGCACTTAATAGTGAGCGATTGTGAATTGTAAGGAGTACTTCAGATTGAGTTTGTTCTTCATAAGCTAAAAGTTGATGAATATGATCGTTGTAAAAAATGACAGATAATAAATGCTAATCAAGAAATTACTTGTGCTTTCTTTTTTCGCAATATCCCTCAGGCAAAACATTTCTCAGAGCTCCTCAAATGAATATCAATATAGCCACTTGGGGAAGGCTGGTGAGAAGAGCTATTCCTACAGTAAACCACTCTGGCACCTTCAGCCCTCAAGCATCCGTATCTGCCGCAGTGCCAGTGGTTGATGCGCGCATTCCTGAACTGGCGCTGCCAGCCAGGTAGGCAACACCTGCAGTTTTTTAATGCTCTTAAGAGAGAGTAGAGAAGTGAAATGTTTATGCAGAAAGGCATATAAAATGAGTTTTCTGCAACACTTCAGAGCTCTCAGCATTCTATTTTGGAAGTCTATTTTATAGACAGATGGTACATGACATCCCGTTTTAAGTTGGTTTTTATTAAACCTTTCTCTGCTGTACGCTGAGAAGTTATTTTATTTTCTTGCCAGCGACTCTCCTGTAGCCAAATTGGACTTTGAGCTGGAGCCTGAGCCTCCACCTGCTCCACCTCGTGCATCTTCCCTTGGGGAAATATGTGAACCTTCCTCTGAGATGAAAGCTCCTGATAGGCCAGCTCAGGCAAGTAAAGTTGATGTTAAGAATTTCAGGCTGTATAGTTTTACCAGGGTTGTAATGTTGATATCTTTATGATGGGCTTCTTCCTTTATATTATTATTTAGCATAATGCTCCCATCATTTAGCAGTAAGCTCCGTAACTTACACATACAAAATTGTCTAAACAGGATGCTGTCATTATCCACGGTGGCAAACTGTTTCTGTGATTTTTCACAAGATAAAAAGAAAGCCTAAAAATCATGGGAGTATTCAGGAAAATGTCGGGGCTTTTTTGTTGGTTTTTTTTGTTGTTGTTGTTTTTTGTTTTTTTGTTTTTTTTCTCAAGAAAGAGCAGAACAACTGGAGGAGCAGATTTCACCATTCTGTTGAAGGCTTGTTTATATGTATTATCTTAAGGTATAATGTTTTAACTTAGTTAATTCTTGTGTTAACAATTCCATACGCTTAAGGTAAAAATTTCTGCATCTCTTTGTCTTAGGAATCTGCTTTAAGTTTTCAAATGCTGTTTTCTTCACAGGATGATGTATCAACTTTTGATTTCGAGAATGGTAGAAATAGTATTGTTCCAAAACTCCAGCCTGGAATAATCTGTGAGTCTGATGTTCCACATTCAGACACAAAATACACCAACATTCGAGAACCTGAAGACAGAAGGTAAAAATGCTATGGTTTTAGTGTTGAATATGAATTACCTTTATTGGAGTCAGCTAACTGGAAAGCGTGTGTTTATTTACACAGAACACAGCAAAGATTTCAGTTCAGTCTGAAGGACTTCAGATGTTGTGCAGTACTTGGCAGAGGACATTTTGGAAAGGTAAATGTGAAAAGGCTGTATCAGATGTCAAGGCTCTGTGAAAAACTGGATTTCAGTCTGAAGTCGTTTATCCTCTGTTTCAGGTGCTGCTGGCAGAATACAAAAACACAAATGAGATGTTTGCTATTAAAGCCTTAAAGAAAGGAGATATTGTTGCTCGTGATGAAGTAGACAGGTCAGTGTGTAAACATCATGCGTGGATTCTCTAAATCAGTTCTGTTTTCCTTCTGCATGCGGCACGCCTATAAGCTCTACCAAACAGTGATTGCTTTCAGAGAAAGGGCAAAACAGATCTCCCCGTTCACTTGGCTGTTACAGACCTGTAACCTTTCTTTGGGGCAAGGAAGAAGCAGAACAGATCAGGAACACTGTTTATTTTAGTGCTTCTCTTACGATGCCTGTATTACAGATCTGGCTTTAAAGCCAATCCTGCTTTTTATTCAGACTCTCTTGTAATCATCACTTCTAATTACTTGTTTTATAGAATTCCATCACATTCCAAGAGGACAGTGCCTATGCTTTCTTTGCTGGCAGAAATACATAAGATGGTATTTCTCAACTTGTAACATACTGTCATACTCTGTTCCTCATATTTTCCCATGAGTCTACACTCATGTTAATCTTTGTCCAAGAAATAAGATTTTTCTCTGTATGGAAGTCAAATGGCAGTTACAAAACTGACTTGGTTCAGCACAACAAGGCGCTTCTGCAACTGTTCAATGACTGTTTATGTTGGAGAAAAATAAATAACTGTATTAAGAATAAGCTGACTATCAACTGCATTAAGGAGAGATAATCAGGAGCGTTCATAGATAGGTATCTACAATACTGTAGCTTTTTTTTGCCTATGTATGTTATACATAATTAAAATGGATGCAACATGATGCTACATGATATTGACGAACTAATTTGGTAGGAAAATGGGCAGGATTCTGTTTTCAGGAGTTGCCTCTTAACCTTAGCCTAAGTTGCCTTTTTTCACTTGTGAAGGACCAAATGCATCTTCTTAGATATCCTGACATCAGTTTAATGTGTGGAAGTATCAAAAGCTCTTTCCTAAAGAAAAATATTCTTGTTATCTAACTTGGAAGAATAGAGGGGGGGAAAAAGCAGAAGATCTAAGTTACCAACAGTTTTCTGAGAGTTGAACTGTGGGTTCAGGATTCAGCTTTAGGTTTTACCGTTTTGGGTTTTTTTTTTCTATTTGCAGCTTGATGTGCGAAAAGCGAATATTTGAAACTGTGAATAGTGTAAGACATCCCTTCTTGGTGAATCTTTTCGCTTGTTTCCAAACCAAAGATCACGTTTGCTTTGTAATGGAATATGCTGCTGGTGGGGATCTGATGATGCACATTCATACTGATGTCTTCTCTGAACCAAGAGCAGTGTGAGTATCCACCCCTCTTTGTGGCATCAGTGGAAGGGCATTTGGTTGCATTTCACTGGGCAAGAATTACAGTATTGCCTCATGCCTCTTGTATCATTTCAGAAAATACTACTGAGTTTTTAGAAGGGCAGATACTGATATTATTTTTTTCAATTAAAAAAAAAACACACATGCAGATTAAGTGTTCCTGAATCTAAGTTGAACGCAAATAATGGCATACAGACATTTACTGTTTATAATATTTTTTTTTTAAGGATTGCGTTAAAAAGATAAAATCAGAAGTTAAAATAAGATGTAAGGCCAAAAAAAAAAGAAGGAATAAGAGAAATGAGGAATCCTTCAGTGCCACAATGGTGAACCCTACAGAAAACTTATCCTTCAGGCCAAGTAAACATATACGTACAACTTGCAAGTTTGAACACTGTTGACACTTGAGTTTCAAATTCTGACCCTGTATAAAATTAATCAGTACCAGAAAATGCAAACCATAATTTTCAGAGGATAGCTAATAAAATAAATGCATTATGATCGACTTCATATTCTGAAAAGCAAGACTTGAATCCATTGAAACTTCAAATTTCTACTCTTTCAACAGATTCTATGCCGCATGCGTTGTTCTTGGACTTCAGTATTTACATGAACACAAAATAGTTTATAGGTAAGTGGGTCACTGATACACTTCTGACAGATGTATTTCAGTACTTTCAAATATCACTAAAGAAACCTTATTTTCAAATGTTCACATAGAGATCTGAAGTTGGATAACTTACTGCTGGACACAGAAGGCTTCGTGAAAATAGCTGACTTTGGTCTTTGCAAAGAAGGTAATGGCTCACTATTTATTTATTCTAGGGAAGTTCCATCAGCTTTCTTACTTGCTCTTGTCTGCTCCTTACTGACAAATGTATACTTTGTATATTGATCTGGTATGGCTTGAAGGAAAAATACATCTCAGTACAATTAGTGGAGACAGAAGGAAGTTCCTTAGTGGGGAACTTTTTAAGTTGTGAGAAATAGCTCACAGCTGCCTCCTACGTCATCATGTGCTCTGAAACTCTTTTCCTTATTCTAAACCAAAGTTGGCCCTGTACAGTGAAATCAAGATATACCTCAATTTTTTTAATTTTTTTTTAGCTCAAATAGTTGCACAACTCGTAGTCTGTCATGCCTGTATGCTTAGTGTATTAGCTAAAACAGGAAAATTTATCTCAAAAGAGAGGCCGAGAGGCTAAAAACTAACTTTCAAGTATCCAGCTGGAAGATGTAAGATAAAGGGTTTGTCTGCACTGAGAGAAGTATCCTTCTCAAAGCCCAAAAGGAGGAAAGACCTGAAAAGGTCCATCTCCTTTTTCAATTTGTGTAGTCTATCCCCAAAATATTTCATTTCTAGCCAGCGTAAGAGGGAGAGGAATTTTCTAAGTTCAGTAGGTGCTCGAGCATTATTAAAAACATCCTTGAGCAAGTTGTGTCACTTTAGCTAAAATTCTATAAATGACAGAAGGAAACAAGGACTAGGAAATCTCTGTGGCTTACTGACTACTGCAGGAAAGCATTTTCTGCAATAAATGCTCTGTGCAACACCCCCACTGTCACATCAGTGCTTGTGGTGCCCTTTTTAATTGTGCCCCTCCTGCAATTACACAGTTGTTATGTTGCTCAAAGCTGTTTCACTACACTTCATGTTTAACTTTATTATAGGTATCTTTGCCACTGCAGAAGCATTTGCAATGGGCATATTTGACTGAAGTAGGGCACATTTTTCACAAGCTAAGATAACAGTGACGTAAGTGTAATTGCAGGCTTAATTTGGCTCACTGTGTAGAGTTAGATATAGAAAAGCTAATACAGAAGCACACTTGGAAGAAGGGCAGGGGAGGGAAGAATATGGGAATGTTTACTTAACTCATTAGAGTGAGTTTTCAGGACAGACCCTAGGACCTCAGCATCACTTAGCTGAAGTTGTGTTAGAGAGGTTTTACTTGCTAAAGGAATAATTTGTGGAGGTGCAGAAAACCTGCTTGTTTTTCATTAATTGTAACCTTTCAGGAATGGGATTTGGAGACAGAACAAGCACATTCTGTGGCACACCAGAATTCCTTGCTCCAGAGGTGCTGACAGAAACTTCCTATACAAGAGCTGTAGACTGGTGGGGTCTTGGTGTCCTTATCTATGAGATGCTTGTGGGTGAGGTATGTTCCAGTAAGATACAACACAGTCGTAATAGTGTATGTTACAAAAGTGAAAACACTGGCCTGTGAAACATTTAATACGCCCTACACACAACAGTTATATTGATATACAATGTATATAGACATACCTAGTTCTAGAGTGAACATCTTCAAGGTTCATGAAGAAAAAAATAGGAACAACTTAACTGATACTAGCTGCTCCTACCACTGCCAAAATTGATTAGTAATGTCACAGACCTAAGTTTCCAGCTGCTCTGGAAGCAAATGAGTCATAGTTGGTTCGAGACATAACCTCTGAATTTGTTTGGTTTGCTTCTAATTACATCATTATGCCTTAAATCAAATTATGGTAATGACACATTAATATCAGTGTCTCCAAGCAAGAAAATGGCACGTTTGGTTTGGGGGAGTTCAGTATCTAGCATGCAGGGCAGAGCAATAACAACTATTCATTTCAGTTACCTCATCTTTTATTGTCCAATTTGAATGCGTAATGCTGTTGCAGTCTTCTTTTTTCAAATGTCTGAGTTTGAAAAATCAACTCCTGAACTCCTGTAGCTTGAATGGAATAAAACCTTAATTCACAGAACTGGGTAGCAGTGAAAGATTATGCTGAAGTTACAGATTATCTGAATTACACGTTAGAAGAGAATGCCCCAGTTCTGTATGAATGAGACAGTAAAAGAAATTATTATTGAGTAGTTACTTAGACCTGAAGGCAAGGCTGTGTGTGCCATGCTATGTTGTTAGTTATCTCCAGAGCAACGTGGTGATGGCGTACATACTGAAAATGTGGGGGGAAACTAAAGATTTATTAATCATTTTATTATCTTTGAAACAAAGATAGCTCTTGAGGTTTTTTAAGGAGAAAAAAAAAAAGACAAAAATCTTGCAAGGTGATCTGCATCATTCAGGCCACTCTAAAACAGAAATATTCCTAAGCTATAACATGCTGAAGATACAAACCAGCCTTTCATGTGTTAACTTGTGGGTGGCAGCTGTCCCAGCGAAGAGCTAATAAATGCCTTCCACATTTTCTATCTTGTGTCAAGAGTTCAAAAAAAGAGACTAGTTATAGGTTTTTCTGCTTTTAAAAACACACTTTTAAAGCACAGTCCTTTAGATTTAAAAAAAAAAAAAAGGGATAACAACAACTTACTTTTCTCTCTTAGTTATGGAAAAGGATTGTGTATCTCCAGGGAAAGGAAAGTTTCAATTTAGGAAGACCAACTCCAAGCTGTCAGCTGACAATGTTGCAATTTTTGTTCTTTAACTGTGAGCGATTTTTAAGCCTGTTTAGTAATTGTGGGGTTTATCACTTTGATCACAGTCTCCTTTCCCTGGAGATGATGAAGAAGAAGTGTTTGACAGTATTGTAAATGATGAAGTAAGATATCCACGATTTCTGTCTACAGAAGCCATCTCTATAATGAGACGGGTAAGAAATTACATTAATTTCAAAAATTAGTGTTTCCCTCTTGTCCTACAGAATTTATAACTTTCAGGAAGAACAGAATACTTTTAAGAACCTACGCTCATTTTTTTTTCTACGACTAAATTTCAGATTTGTTTCATTTATGCTGTGCCATGCCATCACCAGTTTCATCTTAAAAGAAAACTCAGTGCCATTTCACTTTCTTACACAGGAGCAAGCCTTTCTGGCTGAAATGTAAAACACTAGAGCTCTATTTTCTCCTGGAACGAAGTTTCATCATCATATCTAACTAGAGAAGTCCATGTTTCTTTTTCTTACAGAACACTGTTGCATTGACTGACTTGGTAGCTTAACGTAGTCACATGAATATTTTAATTCAAAGACTTCTAGCCCCTTTCGGTTTCATTCCGACAGGGGCAGGGAGCACCATACACGTGGCATCTGCAGAGCCCCACTCTTCTCAGAGAACAGCTGATTTTGTGATTTTTATTAACGTTATTCCATATTGTAATGCCTCTACTTAACTTCAGACTTCTAATTTCTTTAGGTGTCTGAGTTAGAGGCTCATCTCTTTCACAGAAGGGCAGTTCTTGGAGCTGGTTCGAAGTCTGACACTGAGCACTGTTAGTCAAGCACCCAATTTAGGAATAGGCAGTAGTAAGTTAAAGCATGTCTCAGTAAGTAATGGTAATAATTATATACAATAAAGCAGAAATATTCTGTAGCTCAAAATGAGTGCTTCCTCCCAGGAAGGGGATTGTTTTTCTAGAGAAAGAAAAAACAAACACTCTTTTAAGGCAGTACCAAAAGAAGGTATGCCACAATGAGGAAAAACGAAGGAACCTACTGCCCACTGAAGTACCCTCATCAGATTTGTTCTCTTCTGAGCCAAGCAAGCAGAAATTTCAGCTTATGTAAATTCTCTATCCTCTCCATCAAAAAGTGCACTTTTCATTATCTGTGCTGAACACTGTCCCCACAGATTACTTCAGGTACTAAGGTATTACACAGCAGATTTGCAGAGTAAGAGAGGCAGGCCTGCTCAGTATGCATTCCAGGCTGCTTGTATGATCTGATTCAACTGACACTAGAGGAGAAATGCTGTCTCTTTCTACATAAAATTTCATCTGTACCTTTCTCTGAGGACCATGAATTTTCTGAGTTAGGCAGTATGAACTTCATCCATCCATCCAGTCTCAGTGTTCACTCTTATACAGTAGTACTCATCCCTCATTCCTCTCACTACTTCTGAATTTTCACACTTAAATCTTTCTTGTTTTGTCAGCTGCTACGAAGAAATCCAGAGCGACGTCTTGGAGCTGGAGAGAAAGATGCTGAGGATGTAAAAAAGCATCACTTCTTCCGGGTGAGTAGAAGCCACCGTTTTTTGTATAGGGTCATAAAGGAACAGAGAGGGGAAACTGAACACCAGTTGGTTTATTTTACAGCTAATAGACTGGAATGCTTTACTGGCCAAGAAAGTGAAGCCTCCTTTTGTACCCACCATCAGAGGAAGAGAAGACGTTAGTAATTTTGACGATGAATTTACCTCTGAAGCACCTATCCTCACTCCACCTCGGGAACCAAGGATACTTTCAGAAGAAGAGCAGGAGATGTTCAGAGATTTTGATTACATTGCTGATTGGTGTTAACTTCTAGACACTGTGAAATCCTAGCTGACTGGCTCACAAGAATGCCTCTCTCAGAAGAATACCGCCCCTCCAATTGCTCTCTGTGCCACCTGTAGCTTCTGTTTGTTTTGGTTGGTTTTTGTTTTTTTTTTTAAATCACATGAAGATCCTTTTTAAGTACTGTTTTAACACTCTTGTGAAGAGTGGCCTCTTTGTATATTGTTTTTTATCTGAGCACTGGAAAGCAGTTCTATGGAGTTCTTAAGCTGAGTGGGTGAATCCAGGCTGTACTGAGCTTACCACACGTGGGCACACTTGGATCTGTACTGTTTCTCTCACTCTGCCACCGCAGATAACATTTTTAAAGTATCTGCCTTAGATGGGAAAAGCAGACTTTGAGCTAGTAATCACGTAATGCTCCTCAGACACACGAAATAGAAGTTTGTGATACTGTTGACACTCACACTGAACATGGTTCTGGCTAGAGAAGGCAAATGATTTCATTTAAACATCTTGTGCGGTCTGTAAAACTACACATTTCTATGTACACCTTCCTCTTCTTAAAATAATGGTGTTGAGAACAGATAATGCCTTGTTTTATAAATTTTCTATGGTATTTATTAGGAAAAATGTTAAATGCCTTGCCTTCGAGACAACAACAGCATAAGTGCTTCCATGAAAAATAAAAATCCCGAAAAACCCAGGAAGTTTACCAAAGCCACTTGCCAAACAGTTTTGCCTTCAAGCTTTTTAAGTATGGCTTAAAATTCTGGTTGAAAAAAAGAATGTAACAGGGATGTTGCTCAGCCTAACCACAAAGAGCAAAGCATATACATTTCCTGAGCCCAACCACTTCTGTACTCAAACTCATGCCTTTTCCACTCACAGAGTGGAGGATAAGTTAACCATTCTGTATGTAACCACCTAGATCATCCTGTATCTGCTGTACAATATCGTATCACCATTAGGAAACATAAGGATTTTCAATGTATACATGCTGTGAACATGTATATTTGGAAGTTGTAATGTATTCTTATATCCAGGCAAGTAATGTAATTATACCACTTCATTAATTTTGCACAGTGGCCACGTGAACAACATTGAACTTTGAATGAAAAAATATTCGTATGGGCCGCTGAACTCCAGAACTTAGATTGGCAGTTAGCAAGAGTAAAAGCAATATCTTGTAACAGAATGTATAAATATTTTTGATAAAAAAACTTGTATATTTTATAAACCTCCTAACACTAAAAGCTGTACCTCAAAAGTTGAACAATAATTTAGACCTGACACTGTGTACTCGTTCTCCAAGACCTGTTGTGGTACCTGGTGTTTTGCAGCAAACGTGAATTCTTAGAAAATAAATTTCCCATGTCACCCTTCATTCTAGCACCATTCAGAACTCGTGTATTCAATCTCACAGGTGTATCCTGGCAAAGAGTTTGCTGTTGGTGGGCTAAGATAGGGAGAATCAGCACTGAAATGAATTAAAAGCTTGTAATTGTAATCACGTGAAGATGAAGCAGAAACCACCAGACAGTGAGGTGGTGGTTTAAAATCATGACGCTGGACAGACCTGCAGGGTCAAGCAGAGGAAAGGCAATAAGGAATAACGGTTAATTGTTCTAAACTGGGCTTCCCCCACCCCAGGAAGCAGGAAAGGCATCTTTACCAACTCTACAAATCATGTTAGGAGGAGTGAATGAACTTTTCAGCAGTTTCCAGCTTAAGAAACAAATTACGTTCCTGTATCTAGCTGAAAGTAAATACTTTTGAGGTACAGTCAGCTTACCCCCTTGGTTCCCAAGTATATATATGAGCATCTAACAGGGTGCTAAGCAATTATGAAAGTATCCTGAAAAATACCTTTTTGTAACTACATCTTGTACAGAAATCTCTTTTTTAATCTAAGTACATCTCTTAAAAAATAGAGGGCAGGGTATGTTCACCCAGTTAAGCTGAAAGAAAGCACTAATTTTATCTCTGTAGTTTTAAAATATTTTTAGGCAGATTAAGATTTTAAACCCTAGATTGTAAATATATTTTGCTATACTTTATCTGTATGTGGCTGCTCAAGCACTTTGTAAGGAAATTAGGATATTTTAGAATGGTACACTATGCATTAAAATGAAATGTGCCTTTAACAATGTCATTTTAAGTGTTTTGCAGTCATTAATATCACAAATTAAAGTTTTAAATAGAGTAATTTGTAAATTGTGTCCCAGACATGATTTTGCTGTTTCTTGAAGTGATGCCATGTTTCTTCCCACGGGTTACTTCAGAAAAGAACTTGCAAACAGGAGGCAACTTATAGAAAACCAGTCTCTTAGTGGTAGTTCAGCATACTCCCATTTTTCCCCTCAAGTCCAAATAAATAATCAACTCTGAACATACCTTCTTTCAAATTAAAGGAGTTTTCTCAGTGGGATGAGCAATCCTTCCAAAGGGAGCAAGAAAAGATCACATGCATTAGCCGGATGGCTTGGCTCTGTATTCTCCCCTCACAAGCTCCTTTTGAGGACAGGGGCAGACAGCACTCCCTCCCTCCTGGGTACTTCTTCATTGCTGCCTTTTTCCCCCCATTATATAGGGCAGCTCTGTAAACAAACAAAAACCTGCACATAACCAACAGTAAACCTGTTCTTTTAGCAGGAATGAAAAGCTTTCTTTTCTGAGTACGCTTAGAAAATAAGTCTTTACTCACCACTCTTAAGAATGAGCTGAAACTTCAAGAGGCTACTGCCTAGAGCCTAGAGTTAAGCACTTGAATGCTTAACTAAGCAGACATTCCAGAAAGGGCTAGATCCAAATGAAAATACAGTTTTAAATATCTAGTCTAAATTGCAGTGCAATAGGAAGCGCCTGAAGATACTATGCCACATCCTTTGCTGTCTTGTCCCAGGCTCAGTACAGAGCCAGCTCCCAGCAACACCATTGGCTTCTCAGCAGGGACACCTGCACCCACCAGCATCCCAAACTGCACTCTGCTTGGGCTCTGCTCAGCATCCAGGGGGCAGTCAGCTACCAGGCTGGAAGCCCAGGGTCAGAACCCTCTTCCTGCTGTAAATACTCCCAAACCCAGGCTGCTGAGGTGTCTTCCCATTAGCAGAACACCCAACTACACACAGACCTTTCTTTGGAAACCAGCAGTACAGCCATCATTCCCTTCATGCCATGGTATCATGGCTCATCCCGCAAATCACCCCACTGTCCTCTTCACTTGATACTTCTATTTAGTGAACAGAGAAAGCAGTCTTGTCATCTAACAAGCGAGCTGCACCCAACTCAGTGCTCAGATTGTCCAAGAATAGGTTCTATTGGCTGTTCTTAGAAAGCAGGTACTTGAACTTCCAAGTTGCTGCCACAGCTTTCAGTTCCTAGTGGAAGATCGTCTGACCTTGCCCTGTTATTAACAGCCAAGGGAAGATAACCGAGCAAATGTGGCTGTTCTGTCAGGTCACTGCACGCAGCCAGCAGGCTCCCATGCTGCGCCTCAGCCTGAGAAGAGCACTGAGCTACTAGGGCAGGTTCTTCTCCAAGTTGCACCACAACCAGGCTCAAGACTCAGGAGAAAATTTCTTACAGAAAACATCTCTTCAAAGTGCCAGTGCCGTCATCTTCATGCCTGTACCAATACTTCAGCTTACAGCAGCTGTGTGAGCCCCACTTCAAAGGCAAGAAACTTCTGACTTAAATAAAACTAAGTATGACAGCCACCTAGGAAGCACAGCAGTTTGCCAGCTGCGTATATATAAGTTTAAACTCAAACAGAAGAGATATATTTTTCTTCTTGTGGCTCCCAGTAGACTTAGGATGCCACCAGACATTTAGAGACTGCTTTTCCAAGGAGCCAGAGTGTCACTTACCTGGAGGACAGGAGCAATTACAAAGGCTACAAGAGTGCAGCAGAGCTCTTAGAGGCCTGAGCTTATTTACAAGACAAAAACCTTGCTTCCTTCAAGTCACACCGCATCTAGAATTCACTGCATCTAGAAATGCTGTTGCACCATGCACACTGCTGAGACAGGCTTGAGTCAGAAACACACAGAGCTCACGGCTGAAGGAAAAGCTTCTGTGAGAAAAGCAAAGTCCTCCACAAATCAGCACATTAAAGCATTAGTAACGGCACAAAACTGAATTCAAAGCTGTATGATTTTTTTTCCCCTGGAATGCTTTACAAAACCAGTCAACTTAAACCAGAAGTAACCAGTTTTCAGAATGCAGCACCCCTTCAAGCATATTCCTCGTTGCACCACTTCAACCTACACAATCCATGACACCATCTCTACATCAGAGGCATACACAAGTTACCTGCAGAACTGCAGGGAGAGGCAGGGTCCAGCCAGGACAGCATATCTCTGCCTCTCTACCCTCCAGAGCTTTGTAATGTTCCTTTTAAATCTCACCCCACACAGCTTTTGCTGCATCTAAAAAATCTGAACAGCACACACTCACTGCTCACATATCAAGTGCTTATTCCCAGTGCCTGAAAGCATTTAAAATAGGAGCATTCCTTTCTAAACTGCATGTAGTAGTTTTAACACACTGACACGTGCTGAAAAATATCCCTGCTGTACACTTCCACCTCTGCATTTCCAAACTACAACACTAAGGTACAACCCCATCCATTCCAAGCGTCATGCCTGCTCCTAAAGGAGGGAGCCTGAGAAGCTCAAACTAAGATGGGAAAAGCCCAGGTAAGAGAATTTGTTGTAACGCAGTTTACAGAAAGATGTGACATGAGAACACAACCCCTCCAAACTACCAAGAACACCACCTTTCCCAGCTGGAGCAGAATCATTTTTCATGACTGCAACCAACAGCTTCAGTGTATAAAAGAACTGTATAGCCTTTGTTATTTGTCCACAGTAAAAACCTTAAGCTGCCACATGTCAACAGTCTCGAGTGGCAGAATAGGATTAAAACAAAACCACCAAGAAAACAGTGAGGGCTGTTAAAAATCAGTGCTGCTCGCACCAGAGACAAAGCCCTCCTTCTGGATGGCTTGGGACCAGATGCATAGCAAGCTGACCTCTACAGCTGTTCATTTTAGTAATTAAAATGAATTTGCACCTGTGATGCAAAATTAACTTGGGAACCAGATGACTTCCAGTTAAGCACATTTGTTGCTTTACACACAAAGAAACACTGTCGAAACACAGCTACTTTTCAAAGCTATTACAGTTTGAGAAGGGCTGAACAACTTCTGCCCTTCACTTCTTAGCACTTGGTGGAGAAGCAAAGCAGAGACATCAACAAAAATCAAGGAGAGGCCAAGGGCAGGGCTGATTTTCTCAAGTCTGGAGATCTTTAGCAACAGCTACACAAATATTCAAACTGCTTTTCACCAGAAGTTTGCATTCTCAAGCTTTTGCTCAAGTCTTCCCCGTTGCAAATTGCAGCTAACTGCATAAATTAAAGCCACGCTAAAGATTACTTTTTAAGATTAAATACTGTCACAAAGGGGAGTCTTGTGACAAAATCTAAGCATGAAGCTAACTCTACCATTCCATGGTTTGCATTCCAGTTCTCCATTTGTGGAAAAGTATGTGTGTGTCAAATTGTAGTGACATCCACAAGATCGTAAGTGTTTTTGGAAAAGTTTATTTGGGAATTACATAGTATTTTCAATTTTCCAAAATACATTTTACTAGATCCCTACAAAAGAAATCTGAATAAGTACAATAATATGAAATTAAGTTTGTTGCAACAGTCATTAAATATTTACTTCCACTAATATATACATACAAAATGCCACACAATTAGCTTGTTTACCTTGGAATGTGTGCTGCATTCCAGCAGTTATGCTCAAATATCCATATCCTCCAGTTCCACAACATGAAGACTCAATATTAACACTTTGTACATCCTTTATTATAGGCAAGAATCTTTTTTTTTTGTTGTTGTTATTAGAAATTAAAGTAACCTTCAGCAACTTCACAGCTGCGGTAGCTTGTCTACTGGAGTATCGAACTTGAAATCTGCTGGGAAGAGATCAGGAGCTCGAGGATAGATGAGCCTGTATGATTGCCTGATCGTAACATCAGCCACACCAGCAATGTCACCAATTTCTAAGACAAAAAGCAGACAAACAAATAATGCTTTTTAAATTTTTGCCATTTTTACTGAATAAAACAGCATATGTTTGGTCTCCACTGCGTGCCATTGGAACAGCAGCTTCCGAGTCTACAAAAAACATGAGTTGTCTTTTAAGCAGTAAGATGTTAAAGAAAGTTTTACCTTTTTGCGTCCTTTTCTCTGCAGAAGCTTGTGATGCCATATAAATAGCTGCAGCTGCTACAGAAATAGGGCTTCTCCCAGGAACCAAATCTAATTCCACAGCCTTACGGGCAATGTGTGTTGCTGCCATTTGTACTTGTTTGGGAAGACCCAGATTTGAACAGAATCTTGACATGAAGTCTCCAGTTGTAATCAGATCAACACTGGTTTCAAGAGCTTTCAGAATAAGTTTAAAACACCGACCTATTTCCTTCTTTGAAATCCTGGACACTGCACATATTTCTAAACAAAGAGGAAAAAATAAACTTCACATTTGACAGCATTTTCTGCCCGAAAATACCTGAATTTGACTATATGTACATTAACACCACAAAGCAGGCCAATGTGATGCAGGCAACTACACCACAAGCTTTGCACATTAATGAAACTTCTAAATCATTTAAGTCAGTTCAAACTTTTCATGAGAAGCTAAAGAATACAGATTACTTAATAAGGGAGATCTGATACTCTCAGTCAAAGTTGTCCCCTCAGGATCAGGGAAAAGCCGCATATATTTACTGCAGAGCTTTTGGCAAAAATGCAGTTGCAAGAGTCCCCATCTTCATCAGATCAAGCAGCATCTTAAATATCACCAATACTCAGAATGAATCTCAAATGCCAATTTTAAAATATATTATCACCAAGAATCCCACGCCTGAAAGCCTACTCGCATTATGAATGTAGCAAACTTTTTGCAGACCCCTCCCAGGCCCAGCAAGGTGGGCTTTCACTGCAAACAACCAATTTGGCAAAGTCCAGACATCTGAAAACTAACATCCTATAATAACAATAACTAGACACTTGAAGGCAATATTGAATCTGTACCAGTGAAAACTTACCTTTAAATGTTCTTGGAACACCTTCTTGCCTACAAGCTATGTAGAGACAAGCAGAAGCTATAGCATCATTACTCCTTCCCTTCAGGCTCTTCTGCTCGTACACTTGCTTGAATAAATTATTTGTTCGATCCTTCAAAGCAAGACGATTAAATTTAATTAACTCTAGGCCATTTAATTAGCAGCAATATCAAAAATTCATGTGCCCATTATATTATGCTAACTCAGTCAACGCCAGAGCAATTTAAGACAGAGACATGAACTTACAACTATATTTCTAGGGAGGTTGATTCTGTCTGCCATGTTTGTAATTTCTTTAAAGGCGTTCATCATTGCACGATCAGAGCTACTCATCGTTCTGCGATTTTGGTACTTTGAATTCCCAAATTCATCAAAACTTGCTGCACCCGTGCCCTGAAAAAAAATACATATAGTCAATAAAACAGTTAAGTTCTTCCTCATTTCAAGAACAAACATCCACCAGCTTTATAAATCCTAATTCAAGGCAACACATTGGAACACGCAAGTACATGCGGCTGAAGTAAATCTTCAAACTGAGCCTTGTCCCAGACACCATGCTCTACATTCTGCACAAGTCTTAAAACACTAGCTGGCTTCCGAGCACCACTGATTACGTGAGAATGAAACATGAATAGCACATAGCCAACGTGTGTCTGTCAATATGCCTACTGCCACTGTTCAGCTCCAAGATTGTTTCTGTATGTCAGTTAGGCTACCTTTGCATCACAACAAATATAGCCAATTCAAAACAATTTTATGACCAACTGGAAACCAGCTGTTACAATAACAACTCAAAAATG